GGGTCTTTTACCTTATAAGGTTGTTGGAAAAGTCACTTTGTTTTTTTTCCACCAGAATTTAAATATATTTTTTGAACCGATCATCATACTTTAGCTCAATTATTATTATATGATATGAAAATTCAAATTTTAAGGCTTGTGTGTAAAAAATTCTAATCCATTACATGCAGTAGTTTTTGGATGGTGCCACGGTGAATACGGAAAGAATTAAACAGCATTTTCGTCATATTTTAATTTTTTGCTATAAAAAAGATAATAATACTGTTTAAGTCAAAATGAAATTGACCGATGTGTACGAAAATGACGTGTTAATAGTACAACAGTGCCAAAACTGCTTTGCTGAATTTCATTCCCGGTATTTTGATGTCCAAGAAGCACCAAGTCCAAGAAGTGCGGTTGAAGCTGATAAATACGCGAGAAAGGCGTTAGTTGATGCAAACCGGCGAATAATAATACACGAGATCCCACTGAGTTAAAATTTACCAAATTTAACAGTTCATGACCACTCAAAAGGTCTGGGATTCGCACTGGCTTCCGTGATTCGCCTCTGTGAAGTCCTGAAAATTATCAGGTTTTGAAGCGAATTGTCACTAGGAATGTCAAATGGGATGTAAAGAATACAATACACGCAATTGCCTATGAAACAAAAAGAAGAACCTACTGAAAACAGGTGCAAAGCTAAAATTTGCCAGAAAAAGGTGATGCTGTATGTTTGGTAAGCTTTTAAAAGAGTTGTTCATTTTTCAGCTTTTCCAGGATAACATAACGGTTAATTCGGTTGCCTTATGCCATCAGCTGGATAAACTGTATGATATACTTCAATAGAAAATGTCAGAATTAACCCACAAGCAAGGTATAGTCCTGCATCAAGACGACGCAAGACCTCACTTCAGTATGGTCAATCGCCAAAAACTTCTGTAGCTTGAATGGGACCCAATGTTACATTTATCATATTCTCCAGACCTGCCATCATCGGACCATTATTTGTTCCGTCCAATAAAATAATTTTTAGGCGGTGAAACATTTACCTCAAATCAGCACCAAAAAATTTATGTTCTCGAAATTATGCCAAAATATCTATGAAAAACGAAGTTACTTTCCATACAACCCAATATATAGATATACGGAATATCTTAATCATTTTTCATACCGCTTGTTACTTCTCAGTTCATTTCTATTAGAATGTTTCTCAGTGCTGAAATTTTTCCATAAAAAAATATTTTTGTTAAAAATTGCAATTGCCCACCTCTAACCAATTTAAAGTACTAGCCGAAAAATGTGCTTGTCCTAGGTTTCAATTATAATATTTTGTAATGCGGATTTGAAAAATAGATAACCCTTTTTTTCATTATATCAATTAGTAGTTCAATCGGTTTGCATCTCTCTCGATAACAAATCAATTTTCATTTTCATAAATTTTCATTGTTTTTTGTGAACGTTTTTTAGTTTTTTAATTTTTTAGTCTATTTTTATTATTTTAGACTCTATAAAACATGTTAAAGAAACGAGTAAATAAAATTAACAACAAATTGCAGCACTATCTATATAATTTGCCTAATTTTCACAGTTACAAACCCTTAATTATTTTTTTTGATAAAATGTTAGCCGGGTCAGATAGTATATATACAAACGTGAATATATTTGTTGTAAAAAATTTTCGTTGTAAAATTCAAAACTTTATCATAGCACTACTATCAAAAATTCAGTTTGGAATCCGCGTAAGCTTATCGCATTGTGTGTTTACGCGTATGTGTGAATAAGATAAAACTGTTGTTGTAGGTTAGTTACAATATACGTCACTGAACCCGAATGCCAAATATAAACAGATAACGAATGTTAATGCACCTAATGAGAACATATGGTTTTAGTTTATATTTCACGGAGCACGCGGTCCTCGTGCAAATTTTGTGTTAGCCTTAAGAATATTTTCGACGGTTTAATAACATACTGCTAACTCCCAGTAGAGAAATGTTCACCCACACACATTATACATATTTGAGTATTTGAATTTGAGGTTGAAATATATGATTAATTTCTTGAAGTGCATGAAGTAGAAAAATAATTGAAGTAAACCTTTTTAAAACACCTTTCATTTTCCATACGTTTCGACGTAAAATTCTACGTCTTCATCAGTGCTTTTGTACTTCTTCGACTAACACTAACACATAGGAATGACAATTAGCATGTACATAAATAATTCATAATTGGAACAAAATACAAAAGTGTCAGTGTTCATTTTTTATAAACGAAATGAAGATAAATGTCTATCATCCGAAGCACTTTTAATTTCTCTGGAGAAATTAATATTATTCAAAATTTTAATCGATAACATAAGCAATGTGAAAATAACCAATAATGTTATAAAAAAAGTAAAACGATGTATATTTCATGTTATGCAAAAGGGAATGCATGTAGCACTTACTTTAATACTTAAGTGCACTCAATATATTGCTATTAGGAATAAGCCAACACTGTGATTGGATTGAAAGCATCCCAGAATGCACCCAAGAAGCAATCCACGGGGAAAAACTTGCGCAGAAATTCCGCATACGAATCTATTGTGAATTTTATATTTTAATTCACTGCGTACTTACACAGATTACGTATTTATGGGCTTCGCCGCTATAAGCATTAAATTTAGGTTTGATAAATAAAATTTCAAGTATTGAATTACAGGTTTCATCAGTTAAGATAAAATATAATACGCGCAGAATTGTCTGGAGAATAGTCGACTAGATAACATTCCAGAACATAAATATGTGGGAATTAAAAAGTCCGTCAAAGTGTATCTTTTATAAATGAAACATGTTGAGGCAATTATTAGTGCTAGAATTACTTATTTCAAATTCAATATGTAGCATTTTATTCGTTAACTTTTATATCAATTTTTAAATCCTGTAGACGAAGCGATATCCCTACGTATTCTTATATATACGTAATGCCTTAGAGCTCAGTGCTATATATTTCAATTAATGCTATATATTATCAATATAAAAGACATAATATCATCTAATCAGAGTATCATTTGATAGGTATTACAACATTTATTTCAGAGTTCTGTATTTGAATCTGAGGAGTTTTTTGTCCTAAGTTTTAGCAACAAATGCTCAATAAGTTTACAACTAATTCCATACGGTTTTTAGTATCCCTATGTCCAAGTTTCAACAGTTCACACGATCAGAAATCTTGCTCTTCTATGTAGTGCAGTAAACGGAGAGGAAAAAAGGGTGTAACCTCTGAATTTTTTTACTGTGCTCCGAATTGAATGAAATTTTGGAATTAGGTTCATCTTACCCCCAAGTTCAAAAGTGAAAACAATTCGGGTTGCGCCATCACCCCCCGGGGAGATGACACCCCTTCTCAATTGTGTAATCACATTTTTTCAAAATAACGTCGGCAATCGATAGAATAATTAATTATAAGAAAAAAATGTCTTTTATAGTTTTTCAAAAAAACTAATACTTTTCAAGTTCCACTAAAAATTCATATATTTTTGGCGTTTTTCTTCGTTTTTTGCAAATATCTCCTAAAATATACATTTTAACGAAAATTATGTAATGAACAAAATAATGTCAATAAAAATCTTGATAAATCGGTATTACATAAAGTGTTCTAGGAAAAATATTAAGCAAGATTTGAAAGAGCAAAGTCGTTTTTTATTTTGTTCAAGATTTAATTGTTGTATTTAAAGCCATCTAGTGTCGAGGTTTTACATTTTATGCATTTCGTTGAAATTGGGTTTTATAGTGCTCAACATAAGCTTTAAAATGAGTGCTCTTACAAGTTTTTCGCGTGTAAAATGAGTGAGGTATCATGAAAATAAGAAGCATATACAAAGTTTTTTTCTTGTAAATCATATGGTTTAATGAGTGCCATTTCCACCAGAATTAAAGTAATTTACATTCCATCTAGAATTCACTTCATTATAGACATCTTGATGGATTTTAGCAGATTCACTACTTTAGTACAAACTATTTTCAGAAAACTCACGATTTTATAAAAACTTTTTTTTCCAATTTGCGCGGCCGCGCAGTCTTTAAACATTTATAACTCTGTCAATTTTTATGTGAAAGAAAAATAATAAAAAACAATAAAAAGCCAGAAAGATCCCTTTTATTTTTATCTATATGCTTTTGTACGTATCTTTTATTCTTTTTGAGATATAATGAAAATAATTTCGATTTTTAAAAAAAATGGAAAAAAAAGTTTTTATAAAATCGTGAGTTTTCTGAAAATAGTTTGTACTAAAGTAGTGAATCTGCTGATTAGTATTTGTGAATGATAGTATATACTCATTACAGAAAAAACTTTGAATTGGATTTAAGATTATATTTTGAGCAGTATTAGATTATCAAATCATGAATAGTATAAATTAAATATTTTATTTTTCACAACTTTGTTCTATTTAAATAACCAAGGTTAACATTCTTATAACATAAATAATATATAATTCGATTGTATGTTCACAGTCCGAGGAAATAATAAGTGAGAGAAAATGTACTTATTTACGTCGTGTCTATTCATCAATATGACTACTATATTTATTTAAATTTGACTACATTGGCATAGCCTAGAAAAAAGTGTGGATATATTACGCATGTATGAATATATTTTGAGAAACGCGCTGTAAATACGAAATTCCTTATCTCAAATTCCAAGTTAATCATAAACAGTTATGAGAAACTAATTTTTTCCATATTTAAATTCAATTTAATCAATGCACAATCGATGCATTTTATTAATACACTAGAAATATTTATACTGAGGAAAGAAACTATATGAAATAATGGAATCAGTGGTCACCAAAACTGATTCACTAAAATTCTGAAGATGTGTATATATAAAGTTGACTTCTATTTCTACATGAAATTCGTAAAATTGTCTTTTTTGCACGAAAGTCGAGCCGAGATCGACGATATGATTCTAGGGAAAACATTATTTCGTTGATTAGAAAAGATTTAACATATTTTTTCTAATGAATAAACATATTTATCTTTAACCTTTTTCAGATGTCCATCGGCGGTTCCCACGAAAACGACGGTGTAGTCGCCAGTCGAAGTAGCGGCTACCGCGGTGAGCCGCGTGTTCGGTAGCAGCAATACTGGCACGGCAGCAATAGGTTGCTCACCTCCGAGAGGTGTATTAACATCAAGACCGCAGAAATCTTCTCCTATAGTTTGCAGTTTCTGAAAAAAAGAATATGGTAATTAGTTTGTTCCTAAAATAGCGGTCCCTAATATGAATCAGATAGTTACAAATAAGTACCTAATTGAAGGTCGAGTATTCAAATCAATTTAAAATTACGATTTGTAACAGAAAATTTAATGACATTTGATGCATGTCACAAATCGTCAGGATATAAAATATAAATACTAGATGTACATTTTCAACTGTGTTAACATTTTATGTCTGATTGTGAAATACATGTCATAAGAACGGCATATATACAATTTAATTTGCATTGTTTAACCATAAATACCACTGGTTTAAAAAAGACAATCGGACAGCACTTTAAATAGCCAAAAAAATATTTTCCATAAGAAGTTTTAATAAGCATGGTTAATATTGAATCAAATTAATTAACTGGATTTATTTATAAATCGAGTCTATTGGATTACAAGTTAAGATTAGCTATTAGCATTAGCTTTAATTTACAGTCGGTCTTTGAATTAAAAAAATGAATGCTTTTCTTAATAGTCTTATCATAAATAAGATGCGTTTGTTAGACAACGAATAGACTGATTTGAAAAAATATCAAATAATTAGTTTCACTTTCATAACTCTCAATTTCTATCTACGTAAAATCAATTCAATTCAATTCAATATATCTGTATTCTCTTATGAAGTTTAAATAACTTTTCATAACTGTTTAAGAATTTAATTATTTACAACAGAATTCCAAAGTACTAAAAAAAACATTTAAGCATCTTGCGATTTAATAAAGCATTCTAGAATCGCATTTGAAATGAATAATGTACATAGTTGAGACAAGAACATTGCACAGTACGGAAATGCATGAAAATTCTACAGAGCGGTTTTCAACCAGTATTATTAACACTTGACCAAGCATTTTAGTATATAGTAAAGCATCTTGTTCATTAAAGTATATTTTCCAGAGCTCACGACAATTGAAGGAAGATTAATAAAGTAGATAAAGAATGTTGGTTTACCTCAAATAGATAATTATTGTGGTAGTTGTGAAATTTATAGTAGTATAGTAGTAATTTATCTTAATTTAGAGAAATTAGTAAGTTGCATGTTACAGCCAAAACGTACTGACGATACAAATAAGGTATTTATCAAAGCAGTTGATAACGAATCTTCTGAAGTTTTCTTATGTTTCTTTTGAATAGGTATAGTTTAAACTTCGAAATCGTTGCCAAACTAAAGCAAATTTTCAAATTTTGTTAAAATGACTTATTGGTCATAAATAAGAATTATCAAAATCACAAATAAACTTGATTTATGCAATTCAACTGTGGGGATGTTGTAGTTACTACTACAATGTAGTAAATCAAACGTGGGGCGATTACTGATGCTAACAACCAAATGAGGGATATTTTTGGTAACAAACGAAAGTGCATGTTCCTTTTTTAACTTTCTGAAGGAAAGGATTGTTTTCGCCCAAAAAAAACGATTCGCTAATTTTATGTTTGCTCGACGATACACCAAAGTTAGCAAGTCTTATATAAAAACATGTTAGATATATTGTAGAATTATCAGTGAATGCTGAGAATATCGCTTTCTTAGTATTAAAAACCTTCGGTCTCATATATGTTGGTACAGAACAGTCTTGTGCAAGGACCAGTCTTGTCACTACCAATGCAGATAAAATGTGCAGCGCGCGCATGTGGGTATCATAAAGTTAAATGAATGGAAGTTTTTATCATATGTATTGTTGAATAATGCTAGATTAGAGGCTTCAACTCTCTTAAAGTGAAAACAGGATGTGTTTGATAAAATATTATCTTGAACAAATGTTAGATTTAAACGAATAAAAGTATATAAGGACGCACTTTAATAGCACTATAATAGTAGAGATAACTTATTAAAAATATTTTTATTTATAATAATAGAAAATTTAGTTTATAATAATAGAAACCATATATCTACAAAAAAAAATTGCATTGGTGAATATTAACACAATACATATTATGACTTTAATTAAGGCTTACAAACATAAATCCTACATATAACAAAATACAACTAAAAAATTTACAAAAGTTCAGTAGTAGTTTATAGTATATTAATTTTCTGCTTAATAAATTTTTATTATTCGCATACAATGAATATAGGGTAGGAACATAAACGGCAATGTTTGAAAATCCATAACAAGTATTTTCTTTGTTAGTTTTTTTTTGGTTATGGATACTGTTGTTCAGTTCACGAGACCTTAATATAATTTGTAGGTCTACGTTATTTGTATTATAAGATGCTTTGTTAAATGTATTATAAGATGCTTTGTTATTTTTAAGTTAGATTCAACAGTTTTTTTTATATAACCTATATAACAGCTTACATGTGGGTGGGGTAAAAAATCATCTGAGGCTTCACCCTGGCAAAGATGTAAACAATAAAAAATAGTAAATTAAGTTAAAAAAAGCAATTCTTCAAGAAATAAGTTAAATAAATAGTTATTCAAACTCTACTGATGATTATTCCTGACGAGATACCAGATCAAGGTTATATAGATTGAATTTATATTTTGCATTGGTTGAATAAAGTAGTTATTATTTCGTAAAATCATCGAACACCTTTCTACAATGACGAATTACTTGGGAGTTTTACTATATGTAGTCAGATAGTTATTTGTTTTATATGTGTTATTAGTTGTTATGTAATTGGTTTGGTTTGGTTTGGTTTTCACAATATAGTTGCTCAAATCAAATTGGACCTTTGCACCCCACTCTACTCTAATATGTTAGTAACATTAAATTTTAAAAAATCAAACTTTTCGAGCTTCAAAAATTATATATTCGCGGAGCATTCTAACAATAAATAAAATCGATCTTGTAAACAAGGTATCATATTTGATATTTATATATGGAGTGAAAAGCAATTGCAGGGGTATCATGCTCAAATTTCATTTCACGAAAGTAAGGCGAGATTATTAGATATTTTATTAGTAGATTATAGAAAATCAGAAGCGAATAGTCATGCAGTACTGAAAATACTTCTCATATATAAAAATGCTATTTCGCTTGCTAAAATACAGACAGCGGATATTCGAGAATGCTTTTATATACTCTATGATATGTGAAGAGTGTGCAAAATTTTATGAACAAAATAAGGTTCGGTGGGGGCAATAAAAAAGGTTTATTCTAAGGTTTCTTGTGCGTATAAAATGGGCCATAGAAATATATGTATGGAATACCTGAAATCCAAGATATTGGATTATATATATATATATATATATATATATATATATATATAAGGTTTCGCAGTTAGCTAAATGGAAATCGCACAAAAGGTAGTTCAGTTCAAGCAGTTCAGTATATTGTGTAAACTGACTTATTATCGTGATATATTTGCGATAATTGACTTCAAACAATAAGTGAAAAAAATCCAATTATTTTATTATTATTTATAGTTATTAAAAATAAAATGATATATTTTTTGTCCCCAGTAACTGAAGCTCAGTTATTTTATAAAGCTATTTATAACACCTTATTTTATTAAGGTATGTACATTTTCAATTTAAATACTTTCTTGAATATATCTAATAAAAGTTTTTAGTATCACATATGTTTATCATTCATTAAAGGAAACCACATGTGTTTATTATGTGAACATTATATATTAAAGCAAACATTGTTATGTAATCAGGATAATTCTAACCACCACACAAGTCGAAAACGAAGTCGCTTAGTGCAAAAATAAGTTACACAGATTTAATAGGTCAATAAAATCTATCACTTTCTGAATAACATATATGTAGTATGTTATTTGGAAATTGATATATTGAATAGAGTTAAAACATAATCTTCATTAATTAGAATCTTGCATAGGAAAACTGTACAATCAAGTTTAATAATTATTAGTCGAAAAACTAGTCATTATTACATATTGTAGGAATACTTTTTTTAGGATAATTGAAAAATGTGTAACTAAAAGTTTTTCGTTCGTTTAGAAAGTATACGGTCGCGTGGGAAATTTAAAGAAAAACATCTTTATAACTCATATACTCATAAGTTTTGCACCTACACGAACGAAGTTTGTGCGTTCTCTGAAGTTTGTGGTGTGTCCATATGAATCGCAAGAACTTTGTTAAGTAATGGATTGGTCAATGAAATATCAAGTTAGAGGTCGATAGTCTGACGTTCAGGGATTAGATAAATTCAACGGTGAGAACGTTATTTCAGCACATGTTACAAGGATAAATGCCAAACTAGCACGCAGTTTCATTACTACATTAAATTAACAATGTCACATATAAAGCATATAAAATTGGAAACATAATGAAGAAAGTTGAGATCATAATATGAGCTCTTCAAAATAACGCATTAAAGATAAAATACTTTAATGAGTGAGCTTTGTTAAAACAAATCACAAACCGCCATCACACAAAGTTATATTCTATTAACAACGCTCTCACAAAATATGAAGCACATTCATGCATTATTACTAAATTATATGTATGTTTTTGTCATAGCATATAGAATATCCTTTGAATAGTCCATTTATTTATATGTTTCATATTTATAATTATTAAAATATCCTTACAAATTCAATATCATATGCTGCACGTTGCAAAAAGAGGCACTTGAGCTATCCTCTCATGCAGATAAATCATCTATAATAAATATCTTACTATTACAAAAAAAACTGAGTTTAATAATTTGTTGCTATGAAACGCACTATTGTTCGAGCGTATATAATTTTTTAATACAAGCACCAAAGTTTTGTCTTTAATCTGTTCAAAAATATTATAAAAATTAGAAAATATTTATTACACTTTCTTGTTACACCAGGATTCGAACAAGAGAAAATATATCGTAAGTAAATTCCATTTCATTCAAGAAATATAAATAAATAATCAAAAATTAAAAAAGCCTATTTCCAACTCAATTTTTTTAATAACAGGCTATAGTTAGTACACTAAACAAGTCGAATAATTACATATTTAAAACCGACTGAAATAACTCTTCTGTTTCCTTCCTTTTATGAAACTTTAAACGCGTTTTTC